TCTCTGGAAAGACTGGTTTGGAAAAGTGATCCAATTTATAATATCAAATCCAACTTCTAACTCTCCATTCTGTTTGAAGGAAATTTTTTCTCCTGCACTATTGTTGAATGAGACTCTTCTCATAAAGTAGTTGAGCTTAATTGTGAAGTTAAAAAAAGGAGTCATTCATTAGGATATACAAAAGTATGACTTTTTTTCTGCTTTGAATACAGTTTATTAATTTATTGATTTAAATTATTTATATAGCTGCCCATCTCACAGGAGTGGCTTTGAGAGGTGTACAAAGATTAAACCCACAATTGATTGACTGATTATGTGCCATCAAATCATGCTGAATTTTAGCAACCACACTGATGGATTCAATCCAAGAACCTTGAAAAAGGCTAGCAAGCACTCTAATCCTACTCAGTAACACTCACTGCAAATTAATACATATAGTCCTCACCTAACGACCTTAACTGGGATCGGAATTTCCATTGTTAAGTTGTCATTAGGAAAAATGTCACATGACTGCATTGCTTAGTGACAAGAGTTCCAGTAATCTGGGTTGTGGTTGTTAGGCCAGGACCATGCCCTTGTTAGGCGAGGATCTCACACTTTACCTGCCCTGCTACCCCCACTTATGCTTCAACTCTACCCATTCACATATCTCCCCTCCGTCTCTGCCCTTTTGGCAACCCTGCACTCTGCCACTGCTACCTACCCTTGGTACCCCCTGCTGCTCCAGCTCACCTTTGCCATCTTCTTCCTCCCACTGTTGACAAGGTGTGCTTGGCTGAGGCAGCTCCTGGCGCTTCTCAAGGCTTTCTTGAGGCCTTCCTGAAGCATTGTGCATCCTCCCCAAAGTCTAATGTGGCCTCCGTGTGGCCTTGTGTGTCCTCCCTGAAGCCTCACAAGGCCTCTGTGTGGCCTTGCATGACTTCCCCAAATCCTTGTGTGGCCTCTGTGCAACCTCCTTGAAACTTTGCAAGGCCTCTGTTTGGCCTTGTGAGGCTTCATGAAGGCTGCACAAGGCCATGCAGAGGCTTTGGGGAGGCCACACAAGGACCTCAAGAAGGGCCAGAAGTTGCCTCAGTTGGGCATGGCTCATCAGTTGTGGGAGGAAGAAGGTCAGCTGGGGGTGGCGGAGGGTGGCGGGATAAGCAGCAGAGCGATAAATGCAAACAGGCTGCCAAGCAGTTGAATTTTGATCACATGACAGCAGGGGCACTGCAATGGCCATAAAATGACTGTTCATCATAACTGAATGGTCGCTCAATGAATGGTCATTAAATGAGGACTACCTGTAGACTGCCAAATCGTGCACATTCTTTGGGACAATCTTCAAAACACAGTGAAATATACAACAGAAATTTGCAAATAATGAAAAAGCTACATGACTGAGATTAAAACAGAGAACAATAAATTAAAAAAAAATCATGATGTCCAGTGTGTTTGGAGATAATAAGATGATGATTAGATAAGAATGTTGAGCCCAGTGAATCAGGGAGACAAAGTGCAATTATGTATATGATTAATACGTTTTCCATAGAGAAGAAAGTTAATCCTGTTTGAAGACAAGGTCATCTCCTTAGGAATTGATAGACACATGAGTAGAAATATTCTTGGAAACAGTAGAAACATGAATTTTTGACATCTCAGTCTCTAACTTACAGCTCTAAGATTTCCAACTGATTCACCATCCACAAAGTAACCAGGTCCAACCATTCCTGCTTATCTTTCTGGGATCAACTAAAATCAGCCAGATAATCTAATCACTGTGCAGTACTTTCCAGTATGTTAAGAACCTCTTGTTGAGCACAACATAGATTATATTCAAGCTAAACATGTCAGCTTGTTCCCCTTTGATATTGCTGCCTCATTTCCTGATGTCTCCTTCTGAGAAATTGTTGCATTGAGAAAAGCCAATCCCATTTTCCTCTGTCATTTGCAGAATATGGAGGGATTTGTCTCACATTCCCATCCAGAGCTATTGGGATAATATGCATACATTATGTGTATTGGATGACCCATGATTTTCCATCACTCTTCTGACCTTCTACTAAAAATGCCTTGCATATGATCTTATCTGTGCAAAATACCCTTCCTTCACAGGAAGGAACTGCCCAGCTGGATGGAAACTGTGCAGCTGGATGGAAAATAGCCCAACAAAGCAGCTGTAAAATGATATGACTAATGATCATGGATGCACACCTCAGACTTAACAAATACCACCATACCATAGACAACCTCAAGGAGCAACTGGAACAAACATGACCCCAGAACACACAAATATACTGACAACCACCATCAAGATCACATCCCTAAGACAAGCTGAGGAAAAAAAAACAACAACTTCAAAGTAAACTGCTTAAACTAAACTACAGAACAAAGAGGTACCTGAGCCAGAATGGGTAATCAACATGTCCACCCACCCACTATCCACTGCAGAACACAATATCCTCCAGAAAGGCCCCAACTATGCTAATCAGCTAGAATTCTGTGCAGCCTTAGAAGCAGCATTTAAAACTATAAGATTTAACACAGAGACCCAAGAAAACTTAAGGTAGACAATCATACCACAGATCAGAAGAACACAATATCAGCACCAACTCAAAGCAGAGGACAGACCAGCCCTCAAAAGCCTAAGGAAGAACCAAACCATCATCATCCTCTCAGCAGACAAAGGCCAAACCAGTTATTATGGATAAATTACAATACTTGCAAAAAGCCAAAAATTCTTAGAGGACAAAGAAACCTACATCCCAGTTAACACCAATACAGAAACTAGACAACTTAATCAAGAGAACCCTTCATGGCCTAATGAAGAAAGGCCAGATCACAAAAGAACAATGGCAGATGAAAAACAGTGGACCCATCCTCCCATGTTTCTATGGATGACCAAAAATACACAAACCTGACATACCTCCTCAACCAACTGTATCTTTACCAGGGACTCCAACATACAATATAAGAAAAGAACTGACAAAAAAGCTTGGACATCTCACAGAGAAGAGCGAATATTCTATCAACTC